ACAGATAGATAGCTTCCCATATGTTTGCCTAATCAGCTATATATTCAGGCATTATTTGAGAAGGCTGCCTAAACATTTAGAATATTTTTGCATGATTAGAACAAGCATAACATATGTCTGCAGCTTCCCTAACAGCGCTCCAACCTGCACCAAAGTATACAGATCAACATGCTGCTATGAAACCGTTGGTCTTACCCAGCAAACCTCAGTCATCTGATGCACCAGCTGCTGAAACCTCTGCTTCTGAGACTCGATCTCGATAAAATGTTGCAGCTGAGGATCGGCTGTGGCTCCCTGACCGTCCATTTCTCCCTTAAACAAAGCCGGAGGGCCGATATTAATCCTAATGATCAGAGCCGGGTGGCTGATTTTGCTGACCTTCACGTGTGCGACTGAACAACGGGAAGCCGGAAGTAGCTAAGCCAATCATGGGGCGCGTTTGTGTGACGAAAGGTCATGCTGACGTAACGTTGTGCCGTTTGTCATAAAACGATAAAATTTAGGTAATTTAATAAAAAAAGAAAGAATAAATATATGCAACACAGTATGAGGGCCCAAATCTCACGGTTTGACATCATTTGATTTATGTTTTAGGATTTTTGAACTTTGTGGTTCAATTCAGTTCAGTTTATTTATACAGCGCCAATTCACAACAAATGTCATCTCAAGGCATTTCACAGTTCACCAGATCATACAGCCAAATTCAGAGTTTTCTATCTAAGGAAAAGCAGTTGATTGCAGATAATCCCTTACACTAAGCATGTTTGTATCGACAGTGGAGAGGAAAAACTCCCTTTTAACAGGAAGAAACCTCCAGCAGAACCAGGCTCAGCGTGAGCGGCCATCTGCTGAGGCCGACTGGGGTTCAAGGAGAAGTAGAGATACAAAAAGCAAGAAACACACAGCCAAGGAGACAAGCTCCGAGCCAACTCCCATGTCAGAGGATGGAGAAAGTACATCCAGCCAGTCACAGTCAGAGATCCTTTAACTCTAATTTACTTGGTTTGTCAAATTATCTTTACAGACATTTACTCATGCCTTATAGCTCCTCTATGGACTAATACCTTTTATTATTTTAAACTTCAAGAAAGTAAAAAATAAAATAAAAAAAAAACCCAGAAAAAACAGGTGTATACAATCCTATTATCTGTTTAAGAAACATTCGATATTTATTGATTATCATAATGTTTTACTGTTTTATGCTTCATTTTATCATATTTATTAGTTTTTTGGGGGGCGAACAATGCATGGATGGATCGATGGACGTTTTCAATTTAATCCATTCTTTAAAAATGCTTACTTATTTTTTTTGTTTAAAAATATAAATGTGCCAACAGAATACAAAAAAAATGAGAAAGGTTCTGTTTTCTACACATCATATCTCATAAGCCACTTTTACTTGGCATTTATTTGTGCAACATATATCAGCTTACAAAATTTATTTTCACATACAAGTGTGTTCACAACAATTTCACAGAGTACAAACAAAACTGTCATGTTTAATTAAACAACCTTCAGAATAATATAAACAAAATCTAAATATGGTTCATAGAACTGCAGTCTTATTAATGTTATGCAAAAGCTAGTGACTAAAAGTGACATTTGCATTAAAACAGTTCACATTCTAGATAAGCTTTAAAAAGCTGCTCATCCACACATTTAAAGTTTCAATTGTTTTAATTATGCTCAATGTTTCCCATTGGGGAGCTTCTCTCTGGGGACCAGAGACTCCTGTTTGTGTTTATAAATTATTCTCAGGTTTATTGGAGTTCATACAGCAAATCCTGAACATTATATGCCAGCTCCTGGAAGGTGGGTCTTTCATCTGGTTTCTGTACAAGAAAAGGCAAAAAAACCTGTTAAGCTCATGTGTTTTTTTTTTTGTTTTTTTTAGGCTAAGGATGAGATAAGAAACAAGCTTACATCACTCCAGCAGAGCATCATGATGCTGTAGACCTTCTCATTGGCCAGTTGTGGACGGAAGAGACGCAGGCCTCTGGACACCTGATCCACTATTTCTGTATTGTTAAGACGTTCATATGGAAGCTTCCCCAGTGTGTAAACCTCCCACATTAAAACTCCTGATAAACAACAGATACATTTAAGATTCACTAAATCAAGGAGTCAACACTAATCAGAAACAGTGCTTTGCAAAAGTCTTCAGTCAAAACTTTCTGAGTAATTTATTCTTTTCTTTTCCCTTGTCAGTTTAGTGCCTAACAAACTTCTGACATTTTTCTGTCTGTCTGTGGTTGTTTTACTACTTAAAACAGAACTAGAAGGATTTAGAGACTAAATGAACCCAAACATGGACGAACTGGTGCAATGTCAGCCTGTCTCTAGCTTCAACATTGTATGCAAACCCTGCACCAGAAGCAGTGTAGGTACATGAAAAAATACCTTCTTAAACAATTATTCAAGATCACTTTTAAAGTGAAAAACATAATCTCATTGGCTGTTCATATAAACAAAATGAACCACTCAGACTTCTCACCATAAGCCCAGATGTCTGACTTGCTGCTGAATTTGCAGTATAGCAGTACTTCCGGAGGTGACCAGCGGACTGGAAACTTTGAGCCTGCTGAGCTTGTGTACTCATCATCCAAAACATATCTAGGATAATAGGAAAGGAATTTAAAGTCACGCTGTGAACTCACAAGTCTCCTTTGTTCCAATTTGTTACACATTAAATGCTTTACCTTGACAAACCAAAGTCAGTCACCTTGACCGTGCCGTTAGAATCTACTAAACAGTTCCTGGCAGCCTAAAGGTAAAACAAACAACACAATCAGGATAAAGGATAATCAATGAAATACTAGACTTGTCACGTAATGCCTAACCATTGGTAATCCTATCCTGAATCTTTTTTTTTTTTTTTTTTTTTTTTTTTATCCTATCCTGAATCTAATGTGATTTTGTTTAAAAT